ATTTTGTTGGATGGTCCACTTGTAGCCACTTGTCAACGGATGTCCAGGGACCCCAACATCCGCCACGGCCCTTGTTAACCCGCGCGACGACCGTTGCGGTATAGAATTTTTATTCATTTCTTTCACCATATTGTATGAGTTGGCGGTTTTTTTTTTAATGGGGCCAGGTTGCCAACCTGACCCCAACTCTCCTCCTTTCTCATCTGGGCTTGGGACCGGCAACGGCGGAGTTGTTGTTGTTGTTATTGTTATTGTTGTTATTATTATTATTATCATCATCATCATTGCAGCTGCTGCTGCTGTTCATAAACTCAGCCATATGTTTAGACTGTATTTGTCAAGGACCTGGAATAGGCAGATGTGGATGTTACAGATATTATCGCAGGATGTCAATTGCCTTTTGCAATTGACTGATGATGAACTTGTCAATGCTGACTCCAGTTGTTTTGGGATTGTACTCAAGGCACCCATCACTATTGCTCCTGCCTTTGCTTTCTTTTGCCACAGTCATTTTAATTCTATTTTCTATTCTAGTTTATGATTTATTTATGATCTCTGGTGCACAGCAGAAGAGAGAGGAAAGAAGCTGAGGCTCTTGTTTTGGTTTACATGACTATCTTAAATCATGGCTTAGCATTTTCTCTAAAGGCAGCTTGAGCACTAGTAGCTTTTTCACCCGATCCTGTCCAGACATGAGAGTGATTCCCAGCTAACGAAGCCATGGGAGTTCCAGCATGTCTTGGTGCCTGGAAGTTGGCTGCAGTGAGCGCCTGGTGTCCCGAGTCATGAGATGGTCCTGGCCCTTCTGCAGGAGCAGAGGGCATTTTGTCCTCAGCTATCTGCCCACCAAGTGTGGTAGTGAGGACTGGCGCCCTGCCAGATTCCCAACTATGTCAGGGAAGCTGGGGAAGGGGAGGGGGCCACTGGGCCTGGCTGAGTTTCCAGAGAATGGGGCTGTAAGGATAATGTTCCTTGGACATTTACATCGGGTCTTCCTAAGTGATGTGGCAATCACATGGAGAAGGAATGGCCTGACGGACATCAGAAACGTAACTCTCCTCTCCTTTCTTGGGCTGGCCAAATTTGCAGCAATGGCCCAAGCTCTGGACTTGGTCCCCTGGCCCCCAGATACCAGCCCCCTCTATGCAGCCCCCGCCGTCCTCATTCCGCTGGAGCCCAAGAAGACCATGTTAGCTGGCGTGAAGGATGACCTCTACCACCCCTGCCTGCCAACACTGAGGCGCATGGACATGGACTCCATGGCCAACAGGCTCACCGACCAGCATTCCAGGACCAGCACCATGTGCTGCAAAGGTATCAGCTGGAGGGAAATGTCTGGGAGCAGCTGGGCTGGAAGGGCCCCTCTGAGTTGCTCCTCTTTGTGCAATGCAATCCCAAGGGTAGCAATGAGGTGGGGGGACAGGGGCGGGGTTCATTCCAAGACCCCAGGCAGAACTTGGGCTCGTCTTGCCCCAGCACATCAACTAGACCAGGTCTCCAAAATGCTTTATGTGACCTTCTTCTAAGGAGGAGGGGCAAATCTTAAAAGTTTAGTTTGGTCCCCCCTCCTCTTGTGTTTTTTTTGTGGGGGGATTTCTTCTCTAAATCTGCCAGGCCTAAAAGGGTCCCTCCTGGGACGCAGCCGCGGTTCCGTAGCGCTTCTCGGAGCCCGAACCCGCCACTTCTCTGCTCCGTGTCTTCCGCAGAGGATTTCCAAAGGGCGACCTTCACCTTGGCCGGAGTGCCCAGCAGCCCCCTCCCCTCCAAGGTGAGTCATCACTACCCGGCGGGTCGGGGGTCCCGGGGCTTCGCGGGGCGGGGGAGAAGCCGGTCCCGCCCGGCAGTTCAGTCGCTCTGTGGGAAAGATCCGCTCTCCCGTCGGCGGATGGACGGAGCAGTTGAGCCCGCGCGGCTCTTCCAGGGCAGCCGGGCAGCCCGAGGCCGCCACCTGCCGGGGGAAGTCCCGCGCCGACGGAGGGGGCGGGCGGACGCAGCGCGGGGCTTCCCCTTCCCGGCACCCCGAAGGGCCGCCCGCCAGCTCCGCTGCTCCCCCCCTTCTCTCCCCCCAGGGCATGTTGGAGCTGCGGCGGTCGCTGGGCGGGCGGTACCGCGCGGGGAAGCTGGCTCCGCTGCCGCCCAGCACCAACCAGGAGGAGTGGCCCAGCTACACGCGCGCCATGCAGGACTGGTCCCGCTTCGTCTCCGCCGCCGGCGAGTTGGCGCTGCCCAGCCTCGGCGGCAAAGGTAGGGCGGGCGGGCGCCCTTCGCTGCGGGAATGCTCGGCGCAGCCTGGTGGGGCGGCTGAGCTGCCCGGGACCTTCCGCGGGGACGCCGAGTGCACGCTCGGCAATGCTGCGGGCGGTCCGCGCCGGGCTCCAGGGTGCCAACTTCTGCCCGGACCCCCCCCCTGCTCTTTCTCGGGCTCGCCTGCGCCCCCGGCCCTCTGGGGCTCAAGGGGGGGCGCCTCCTTTGGGGGGTAGATGGAAGAGCCGGCCTTAAAGTGCCCCTTTCTCCCCCCTCCTCCTCATGCCCCCCATGCCCTCATACCCTGCTCTGTTCATCTCCTGCCCCTGTAGTGCGATCCCCCCAAAAAACTCTTCTCCTTCAGGAGCAGCGGAGCAAGTGTGGGTGGGTCCTCGAGGGGACTCTAGCTGGCAACTGCAATCCTGCTGTGGAGCCAGACCCGCCCCTGAGTAATGGGCGCCTGGCAGAGGGAGGACCCTGCCCTACTGAGCGTAGCTGGGCTGAGCCCAGATTCTCCCACCAAGGGGGAACCTTTCGGCTACTTGCCTGAGTCATCTGTGCCAACACTGCCAACCATTAGCACTGATGCTGTTACCTAGTTTGCCTAATGAAACGTCTGCAAGCAAACAACCCAGCTCAGAGAATACCAGGGACTCCTCATTTCAACCCTGAGCTACAAATATTCTCCTTATATTGGTCTTTTTCCTTTCCTTTCCTTTTTCCTCTCCTCTCCTCCCCCTTTTCATCTTTCTCAGTTCTTGGCTTCAGCTGTTATGCCGTCAGGTACTTAAAACCAGATGTCACTCAAACCTGGAGGGTAAGCCAGGAGTTTTCCTTGGGGTGGGGGAAGGCAATCTTGTTCGGAGTGGGGGTTGCTCAAAAGACATTTTTTAAAGAGCAAAGGCCACCTCTGGCAGGAGAATCCAACTTGATTGTGATGAAGGGGTTGTCACAAGGGGCTTTGGGGGAACTCTGGAAAAAGGAGTTTTGGTTTTCAATCCAACTATTGGATCCTCAACTCCTTAAGAAAGGTGGTGATAGCAGTGCAGTTCTTTCCTCTAGTGTCCGTTTGTTTTGTTGGCCAGGAAAGAGTTATGTTAGCCAAAGAATTGCCAAGACCACAATGTGGACATGACTCCAACATTTAAATCCTAATGTTTTCATTGGATATTTTTATTTTTTTAAATTAAGTTTACATTTTTCAAGCTATTCTCTATCAGAATAGATTGAGATTATACTATTAATTTGTGGCAGAAAAGTACAATAGTTCACACATTTTAAAAAAACTCTTTAAATGAGAAGTCCCTGCTCAAAACATAACTAAATACAGCTAAATGCAACTAAACATAACTTAATGCAGCTATTAAAATACATCTACTAAAATTTGGGGGCAGAAAAACTGTTCTGGTAAGTTTACTGTTTTGCCCCCTGCAGACCTTGGAGGCAAACAAAAGGGTGTTTTTTTTAAACACACTTGCCCAAGAACAGCTGAGTCCTGGGTTCTCAGCACAATTTGTACCATGTCCTAAGTGAAAGCGAAACCACATCAATGATGGTTTAATTCAGTGTTTCTCAACCTTGGTGACTTTAAGTCCTGTGGATTCAATTCCTGGGGAATTCTGGGAATTGAAGTCCACAGGACTTAAAGTCACCAAGATTGAGAAACACTGGTTTAATTCCTTCTGCGTCTGTTACAACATTCAGGGGCTCCAGTGTGTCCACAATCTCTGAGAAACTCAGGGCTCCCACAGCTGAGAAGGCTCCCTGTTATTTGACAAGGGAGAGTCCCAAGTCCTAACCTGAGGCTGATGGCCAAACTTGCCTGCTCAGCTGCCCTGCAAGACTCCCCCGCACAGGAGAGCCCTACAACTGCTTCCCCCCACCGTCTGCGGCGGGTGAAGAGCAGGTGCAAGGAGGGCCTAGGCCCCTGCCTGACAGCAGGAAGAGGGGGGGATTCACAGAAAGGGGGAGGAGGGAGGAGAAGCATAGGCACCTTTAATTTTAGCATAAGGCCCAGATGGCAAACCTGTGGCATACAAGCCATCACCCCAGTTCACCTCCGCCACGCATGCACATGCGTCTCCTGCCAGCCAGCTGGTGTTCGGGTCTCTGCCGCGCATGTGTGAAGGGTGGGGCATGTGCAGGCGGGGCCGCGTGTGCATGCACAAGAGGGTGCATGTGGGAAGCCACCCACTCATGCGCAGGTGGTAGGGTGCATGCGGGGGGCACGCAGGGGCAGGCACATTTGTGCATTGCATTTGGGCATGCACGGGCACTTAGTCTGGAAAAGATTAGCCATCCCTGACATAAGGCACCTTCTTCCATTTTTTCCATGCTAGTATTGCCTGAACCAGAATCCCAGCCTGGATCGATACGGACCGAAGCCTCTTCCTTACAACACCGTGTAAGTATCGCCCCTGCACTGCCTCTCGCCTGGGACTCATCCCCCTACCCTGCCCCCTTTACGACTTCCCAGCAACTCATGCCGTGTTCTGCTCTTTGGCTACAGGAACACCTACAGGAGCTTTGGAACTGCCCACAGGTACCGGACTCTTCGGGGGAACCAAAAGAAGCATGCGGGGGGGGGGGGGGGGGGCTCTGCTCTCTCCACAGCACCAGAGACTTGCAAGAGTTTTGCTAGCTGAGGGCAAAACTATTTGCAATGTGAAACCCGAGAGGATCAGACTATGTGGGAGGAGGTAACAATTTCGCAAAAGGCTCTTTTGAAGAGCAGACGGTCCAGCCAGCTGGAAGTGACCTTGGAGGTCCTCAAGCAGGAGACCCTATTCCATTTCAGACAAGGGACTGTCCAGTCTCTTCTTCAAAGCCTTCCGTGATGGAACGTCCACAGCATATGATGGCAGGAGAGTCCCAAAAAACGTCAGGGTTGCAGGCTGGGCTGCTGTGGAGAAATCTCATCCTCCAGGCCCTTCAAAGGAATAGGCCGTTCCCAGGAGGCCGCCTGCCATGGAGAATCTCACTCGATGGTTCCCACGTGGAGAAGCTCCTGCTCCCAATCATTCCTCTCTCGGACTCGGGCAGATCTCTTCTGCAGAGATCCCAGAGTAGCCAATGCCGTCTCCAGCCCAGGGAGGGATCCATGGGGAAGCCCTGGCAGACATGGAAGAAACACGTGTCCTCCTTCCTTTCAGCCGCTCTCACTACCTTGAGCCCTGGCACTAAGGAGCTGGTCCCTGATGAGGTCTGAGGCCCGGCCTGAGCCTTTGCCCAGCTTTTCAACACCCAGAAGCAATAAAACCTATGAGCTGCCTTAAGAGGAGACGTAGCCGAGGAAGGCAGCTCCCAGGCAGGCAAATCATGTTCTCAGCCTTGTGCTTTCAGTTTCAAGGATGCAGGCCAAGAGGGGAGGCCTCCGGGTGGTTCCTCCCGCCCTTCCCCTCCCCCCAGGTGTGATGCATGAAAGCACCTCCCAAAACAAACTAGGATCCAACCAGCCTATAAATGCCGGCATCTTTCACCTCATGGAAAATTGGGGGACCGAGAAGTCCTTGTTCCCACTAGAGCTCACTGAGGCATTTCTGTCACAAAGCCAAACCAGCTCTCTGTGTTAAAGGGGTGTGTGTGTGTGTGTGTGTGTGTGTGTGTGTGTGTGTGTGTGTGCGTGTGTGT